TTTCACGGGTTATAGTGGTAGTGTTTTTTTTTTTTAATTTTAATCATCCAACTTATGATTTTTCTCAAAGAGATAATAACCTAATTTTTTTCCCATGCCTTCATCATTATCGGAAAGATATTTGCTGACTCCACAAGGTCTGCCGTTGGTTCCGTAGTATCGAACGTTCAAACAGAATACTCTTATCTTCGCTCTAACGTAAATACACTAGTTCCGAACTGTTAGGAAATATCATAACTGTAATCTTTCCCTTAATCGGGCAGCTTCTAAAAATTGTCTTTCCCAGGCTTTCTTTGTCAGTGTTTATTAGTTTAGGAGTTGAAAGATATCTCTTATCTGACGTAAATAAATTCTGAGCTGAAATGTTAGGTGTTTTCCCTTACGAAATTACGAATTTGTTTACGTCTTTCATTTCGTCTAACAAAGATTTTTATTTTATATATATATTGTGCGATGAGGAGGAGTGGGAGGTTAGCGCGGATGATTTGAAAAAAATAAGGAATGAAAAAAAAGTTCTTTCATCAGCATGATGACTATTAACTATTAATACGTTTTTACGTCTATCTTTCCTAAAAACTAGGGCGGGTCTACGGAGTGTTCTTTTGGGCTGAAGTCCCCCCAAAATGGTCCATATTTGTTTTTGCATGTGATCTAAGATAAATACTAGAAACAATCACAACATGTTCTATTTTTTTAAAATTATAATGAATATATAGGTACTTAATAAAACCGTGTTATATGAAAAAAAAATATATTTTTTTTAATTATTATTTAGACATATAATAATCTGTCTCGGTACCATATATACAGAAAATATGAAATTAACAAAAGTAAAATAATAACTAATAACAAATAAGTAAGTTTGGCAACTCCTGTAGAGTCAAGGCCTTCCGCAGCTTGTTCTGCCATTCTTCTCTATTGGTTGCCGCTGCTCTCCAATTGCGGATTTCTAAGCTGGACCTGGCATCCTCTGCCACTCCATCGATCCATCGGAGCCGAGGTCTTCCCACTCTTCTTATCCCATAAATCCATTCATCTAGGACCATCCGAATCTGATCATGGATCATTCTAATTAAATGACCTGATGATCTGAGATCTTGTAGAGTCTTTTTAGCTCAGCATTCGTTCTTATCCTACAGATTCCATTGATGCAAACTGGACCATAAATTCTCCTTACTATTCTCCTCTTGAACCTTAGGAGAAGGGGTTCGTGTGTACTGGGTAATGTCCAGCATTCGGAGGCATAAGTGAGAACTGGTCTTACCAGGGTCTTGTAATGCTTTAGTAATCCAAAATAGCATTTGTTTGCGGACATAATTGTGAGCTAAGATATACAAATTCTATTAAACACGACGTGGAAGGCCAAAAAGATGGATAGATAAAATTAACTAAGATGCAACAGAGGTGCGTGCAGATAAATGGAAAGAAATAGCCCAAGACAGGCAGAGATGGAGCAGGCTTATTAAGGCTATAAAAGATCTACATAGTCTTTAATGTCAACAGAAAAAAAATTAATTATTATAAAGCTTGTACAGCATTTTAAAATAAATTAATGAAGTATACAGCCAAAATAAATTCTATATAAGTCTGTGTAGACAAGTTACTGAACTATCGATAGTTTTTATGGATACTATCGAACTATCAATAGTTAAAAACTATGGGCTGTAGCCCATCCTTAACAAATAATGTAAGGATAAAAATATCAATAATGAAATATATTGAACCTATCCTCAGAGTAGTGTTGCCCAAAATCAGTCTTGGTCTTGCACTTTGCAAGACCAAGACCAAAGCTATCTAACTGTTGCAAGATTAAGACCAGGACTGGTAAAAAAAATCGATTTTTTAAATAAAAATTAAGGCAAAATAGTTACTAATACTTGACAATTTTAGTTACTATATGTTAATAATTGGTATAACCAATATAATTTTGCATTTAACTCCTCTAATTTTTCATTCGGGCTTAGTTAGGTTTCTCCTATTCAAAAAATTACAGTGATATCTCTATAGTAATGAACTAATAAGTAACTGCAAGACTGTTCCGAGAGTCTTGCGCAAGACCAAGACCACGACCAAGACGGAGTTTGCAAGACCAATACTCGCCTCGGTCTCGCATTTGGGCAACACTACCTCAGCCTATTGATATTATTTTCACTAGCAAAAAATAGAGAACTAGCCATTTTTTTATCCCGATTTACCGTTTTATTCTCAAAGAATATTTACATGTTATAAAGCATTTGCATGACAGCCAACATTTACAGTACCTTCGAGGCGGCTCTTCAGAAGGGCAGAAGAACCTAAAAAGGAAGGCAATAGAAAACTGGAGCTAACGGTGAAGTACTGCTAGGGCCTGACCTACGAACTGTTAAAAAATCTTCCGTCCCGTTATGATACACTAAGTGTACTGTCTGTCTGTCTCCGTTATTTTGCATGTAATTCTAATATAAATGAATCTGAAATAATTTAAAGTATTGACTATATAATAACTTTCATTTTGAACATTTTTAATGTTTTCTATACTATGCTATTATTTAACTCTTTTTCTGTACTGTTAATTTTTAAATTTAACAAATATTATAACCTCTCTATTATTTAATAAAGGTTTTAGTGACAGTGTCATATTTTGTTTTACATGTCCTAAGCGGGACGGACCGTGACGAAGGCACCTCGCTTCTTATTAAGAATTATTTATCCCTTATTAAATTTATACATTGGCAATAAGACACGATTTGTAATATAGATTTTTAAAAAATAAAATAAAATAAATATTTGTCCGAACTACAGATTACATGTAACTCACAGTTATACGATTTGAATAACGAGTAGTACAATTGAATGAAGTAAGACGAAGAGTAAAACGATGTCTAGAAATTTAACTTAATTCCGATTCAGCAAACTTATTTATTTCATTGTATTTAACAAAACAATAAGATCTCTGCTTATAGATTGATTTTCCAATATTAATTTATCATTGAGTCATGCGTTTATGAAAACATGTTCCACCGTATTTAGCGCATGCTAAAATAATAAATCTAAGAGAATATGTAAGAAAATCATTTTTCATTCTATTCTATAATATTTTAATTATTAAAGCCTAGACAAAAAATCTGGCGCTGTGCGCCCATCACACAACTTTCTCTTACCATCCTCTCCTCAGAAGAAAGGAGTATTTTCGGACAAAGAGAAGTGAAAGTAAAAATTATAGACTGTACGAATCATTATTTAAAACAATTAATTATCGTATGTTTTTCATAGCCGTCTCATGTATTATATTTATTTCGTTTGACTAGCCATTAGACCTTTTACGACTGTACATTTCAATTATTGATTTGATTATAATAAATAATTAAGTGTCACGAAACATTTTTAGTCCGAAAAGAGTGCCACTTATAAAGAATGCCTCTATATTTATTTATATTTCATAGTGGTATTTTTATTTGCTTAAGTGCCGTTATTTATACAAATATTTTGGCAAAAAGTACTATGTGGCCCCTTGCCGGACTAGTTCACTCCACTAGTAGAGGTGTATAAAATTTTAATTTTTATATCGTTGTTATCTGTACAATTAAATATTAAATAATATCAACGATAGAATTTACGGAAACCGCATATTATATATGTATCTAATATTATCCGAGTCCGTATTATATAAAGCTCATGTTACGAGTACGTACGGAAGTTTGTATAATTTTTCGGGCGTGCTCAGGTGCGCTCGTATTCCTTTAGCCCCTCCGTTACAACTATATTCAATTACGATCTCTTATTTTTCCGTTAATTAATTATCGAGTTCTTTCATATTTTACATTTCAACAATCAATTAACTATTAATGCGTAATTATTTCAAGTAAAAAAAAATTAAAGATACCTAAGGGGAGGAGATATTGAAAATTATCCATTTAAGCCCTATTATATTAAAAAATGCTTAATTTTACATGGATATAATGAATTAAATCAAAATCGTTAGAGCATGGAGAGATTTGTTAAGTCCGTATATTTTCATTGACTGTCGGAACATGTGAGTGTGTAAGGCGTTCTTTATTCACGTACCATGCATGCCATGGTATTTGGGTAATTAGTCGTTGAATTTCAAACTGAAACCATGTAAGTCTTTTCATGTGCGTTTGTTTCTCGAAATATTGCAAATTTGTAGTCCGTAGGTCCAGGAGGGTTAAAATTATTATTGTGTCTAAATTATAATTTAAGTTAAAGTAATTTTTAAATATTTAGAAGTTTTTGGTTTTTGTGATTACATTACATTATATTACTAAAATGCGTTCTAAACGAAATAATAAGTTTAAGTAGTTTTAATGTCAATAGTTTTCATGGTAATGTTTTAGATAAAAATTCATGTATTACAAGTAATGTTTAATTTTTTTTTTTATTTGAGTTGTGTAGTAAAATTATTTGTTCCTTCTACTTGAAGATTATTCTGATTTTTATTTTTATTTTTTGAGTGGGAGATGGTATTAGATAATAACTTTTTTAGCATTGATTAAAAATTGTAGTGCCAAACGAGGTATTTATCAAGGTATACAAATGCATATAATAAAATTCATAGTATAAAGCCTTCGAAAATTTGCTAAAAAAAGAGAAAAAAAAAATCGTATATACCTTCTATATTATTATTAAATTTAATTAATATTGTGTATGGCTGTACATGTATGAGTGTGTGTGTTCTGCATATATGAGCGATCAGTGACTAATTTAATAATCTAGCTTCATGTCTCATAAAAATGCCATTGTTGTGTTGTTTTTTGTTAATTATTAATCAGAACTGCAGCTTGCACTTATTGGTATGAATCGTTTTTTAATATTGCGTTAGAAAAGAGCGCCGTTATCCACTTTCTAAGGTACCTAACTGTACTATTGTCAAAACATAACTGTACCAGTACGGAAGTTAGGTACAAAGAATAATTGCAGGAACCATTGGATAAGTAGGTATTCTCAGATGTAAGCTTATCCCAGCATCTTCACCTACCCCCTATTGGTGAAGGGGCCAGCCAATGGGATTCCAAGACAGGCCCGCGCATGCGCCACAGAACCCCACCTTAAGTTCCTGCCCACCGGGGACTGTCCAGTCAGTACCGTTACTGCTTCCAGTGAGTGTGGACTTCAAGAGCTCTGAAGCCAGCAGTTGATACGGAATTCCAACCGAAATCAACAGTGTCAAGCAAGCGAATAGGTAAGTGTTTATATCTAACCTACATTATTCAAAGAGGGCTAAAACATTCTATTAGTATCCTATAATTTATGTGAATTAATTAATTACTATAGTAGTTTGACAATTTTTTTAATTATTCTTTTTTTTTTACATTTTACAGTTCATCTGAAGTTTTGATTAAGATTGTTTTAGCCTGATTTTTACTTAAATATTATTGATAATACGATATGAACGTAAATATTTACTATTATTTCAACAATGCTAATTTAATCCTTAAAGTCTTATTGTCACAAAGTATTTGTACTCGTAAGAAAATATTCAACCAGTGAACTACAACGTTCAACTGAAATAATGAGCATTTCGGTTGTCAAAATTAATCTAAAAATGTCATATCCTAACTTGACTTACGATAATTGTATTATGGGCTCATCGGTTTATTGTTTATGTGTGCTGAAATACTGTTCATCTTGTGATTGTTTATATTCGGGAAGTAAACATTTCTTTCTATTTAGTTTATGTATAATATTGTATGAGTGTGGAGATATTGTAGGCTATAGACCGAAGAGTAGATTTTGGATAACGGATAGGTCATAAACGAAATTAAATCCAAATAACAAGTTATTGTATGCTTACTTCTCGGCTTGAGTAAAATCCTTCATTATGGCGAAATGAATCAGGGTTTTTTTTTTTGCTCCCTGATAATCTTCGAAAAAGTATTTTAGGGAGTATATTACGTAATAAGTAACATTTTATGAGATCAACATATTTTATCGACTGCATTAAATTCGAAATAATCAGACTCTCTCCCTCCACGCACAAACAAAATAAAAAGGAAAGAATTGAGCTACAAATTTTGCCATCCTCTAAATTATAAAAGCTCCCTTTGTCCTACCTCTATTTCTGCCCCTGTACCTCTTATAGCTACCGAACACCAATCAAAATTAATTCGCCGTTATCAAGGTAAAAATGCGTGTTTACTGCTAGATATTTACACGTTTCTAATTTCGACTACTACTGACAATCAGTGCCGGCTCCCTTCCTCCCCCCAAAAAATTATTTTATTTCTTAAATATGTAATATTTGTATTTTATTTCATTCAATATTTCTCTGAGGGGGTTGTTTTATTTATAGGATAAAATTAATTATTTTAATATATTTTGTATATATTGTTTTTTAATTCTTAATAAGTGGCGAGCGCTTCCTGAAGTTCGGCGCCCCTCTTAAGTCGGTACCCCGTGGCAATTACCCGGGCCGGCACTACTCACAACAGTGAAGTAAACACATCATCTTATTCCTAACTATTTCAATGGCAATGGAATTACCGTTTACATATTTTTTCCTGTTTATAAGATCGGTTAATATCAAACAGCAGGACGATCTGATTATTAATAAGGTTAGGTGACTAAGTCATTGGAGAACGTAAACCAAAACAATTTCCTTTTTCTCCTGCCAGTATAAATTAAACAACTTGATAATGCCGTCCCTGTTTATAGCGTTATCGCTTATAAACAAAGGTTTATTTTAACATCTAATCTCTTTGTGTTATCCATTAGGAAGGAGCACTTATTTACTAGTAGGATCCACCTATTTAAATAGACGACAGAACGACGTAATAAAATGCTTTTATCAAAATAATCAACGTAGTATTTTTATATTTTTTACTCTACGTGTTGTTTTGCCTGTTTATTTGCCTCACTATTTAATATTGCGATAACGGAAGTGATACTAGAGTATCCTGTCGGATAGCGACCAACACCACTATATACTCGATTTAAAGTTTTTATTTATACTTACTAGCAGGCACTAGCGGATCCAGGATTTAATTTTGGGGGGGCTTCAGCCCGAAAGTTTTTTTTTTCATACAAATAACGATAATTACTTTGCAAAAAAAGAGAGAAGCTAACTACCTATATGAAATGGTGTTTAAGTGATTCCTAAAGCCCTTTTTAATGTAATTACACGAACAATAATACTTTAAGAGATACTTTTTAAATATTTTTTTCGAAAAAACATGGTTATATTTTATCATTTTGGGGGGGGGGGGCTTCAGCCCGAAAGCCCCCCTCCCTCCCCGTAGATCCGCCCGTGCTAGCAGGATCCACCTATTAAATAACCGACAGAACGACGTAATTAAAAGTGTTTATCAAAATAAACAACGTAGTATTTTCCCTGTTGATTTGCCTCACTATGGAATATTGCGAAGGCGGAAGTGACAGTAGAGTATCCGTCGGATAGAGTCCAAGACCATTATATTAACTGGGTACTCGATTTATAATTCACCGTTACCCATCGCTTACAAGTATCAACTAAACCACTAAACAGTAAACATGTCTAAAGGTCTGGTTACTGTAACAGATGAGGTTTTATTTTACTATCAAGCCTCTCCCTAGTACTACGTTGATAACATCTCTAATATCAGCTGATTACACAGGCGGATCTTTGGAGAGGGGGCCCTTCTAAGGTGAAATTAAACCATATTTTATGGAAAAAAATTATCTTTTAAAGTATTATTGTTCGTGTAATTAAATTTAATAGGACTTTAAGAATCACTTAAACACCATTTCATATAGGTAGTTAGTATCTTTATTTTTTTTTTTCTTAAGTAATTACCGTTATATATATATATATATGAAAAAAAGTTTTCGAGCTGAAACCCTCGCCTCCCATCTCCTTCCTCCCTCTAAAATTAAATCCTGGATCCGCTAGTGGCTGGTTGTAAGTTTTTACTTAAGTTTGACTGATGGCTTTTCATAAACTAAAATTAAATGGGCTGTTGATGTCAGGTTAACAAGTACTCAAATCTCATCTCCCACACCCGTAATCCGGAAGCCTCCCCGTTTCGATTGTCGAAGGACGTCCCGTTACTCGCCCTCAGGTAGTGTACACTTGCACCGTTAGCCCAGCTTTCGCAACAAACCTCGCAACCTTTTTTTTTTATGCCTTCTTTTTCTCACCAGGGTTTACAATACATTCACTATTTTTTTCAACCTCACATCACTTAGCCCATCCTGTCGGACAATTGTTTTATACCCTTGTACCGCTAGTGCAAGGGCAGAGGGGTGGCTGTTTTTTTAAGATGTGCAAAAAAAAGGATAAAAAATCGGCCCACGTAACTAAAGTAAAACTAGTATGTATTAATTTTTTTCTAATTCTGTCTTTTTGCAGTCTTCAAACTTCCGTGGTTATCGGTCGTCCTAGCACGGTTTTAAATATATACATGACAATATCTCTTTAAATTTGTTAATTAAAGAAAAACTTGTTATTTATATGACCTAAAAAGTTAACCTGAAATTCATAATACCAGATTCATAAAGAATTAATTTGCGATGGAACCTTTTCTTTTAATAAATAAAAATACAAAATTTTCTCCTTATTATCAGTGAAATATGATATTTAATAAATTTTCTTGTTAGTACGTCTAATATGTTTTTCTTGTATTTTTTTTCGACTGTGAAGGCCTGTTTAATGGCTTCCGGGAGACTGCAAATCGAGCTGATACTACAAAGAGACCCCCCTGCCCTAAAAAGCAAATAAACGGGGAAGCGGAAATAGGTACCGTTGGAGCAGGTACCGCTAGCCGCAAGTGCCAATATCTTCCTCCCTCAAGTGCTTTAGAACACCCCCTGAGGATCGGTACCGTTCCATCCGTTCTCATGTTTGTTTTGTTATCTTCCAGGGTTACAGTTAGAGCACACTCATTGTTTGCTCTTTCATTCCAAATTCCAGGATCAAGTTACCTTTTCAATAATCGTAACGCTTGGTTCAAGAAAATAAGGTACTCCTAGAATAAGCCCAACTATTTATTAATTCAATCAACATGACATGTTGATAAGGGGTTTGGTTTTTTAATTTTTTTTTTAATTAAAATCACGACATTGTTGACGCCAATCCTATCGTTACCATTAATCAGTTTGACAGTTCCTCCTGACACCGTTGCAGACCGTTATGGGTCAACAGAGAATATCCTATCACAAGATGACGTTATCTTCACGACCACGTTAAACAGGAAGGCTCCGTGCGCTATCTAATTGCCATCAGAGATTACTCATATTATCCGGACGCATACCAAATCGTTATAAAATTTTGTTCAATTGTGGATAGAAGTTGCTACTCAACTCGCCGTAATTATTTTTATTTTATTTTTTGTTGGCTCACATTTCAATTTTTTTGTAAATGATTACAATTTTTTTTTAAGTTAGCAATGGTTTAAAAATAGTATTTCAAAAGTAGAATTTAATATTATTATTCTAGTTTTTTAACTTTTGTTTTGTTTTTGTTTACAGATAAAATGTTTTCTAATACTCCAATGAGCTACAGTTACCCCTCGGCGAGCGACGGGAACAGAGTCTTAGACCTACGGGTTTATAAACAGGGGGAAGTGGTCCCAGGTCAGCTAACTCCTCCAAGAGATGGTAGTCCTATTTCTGGTGCTGGCAGTCCTGCACCAGTTGTCACTCCTGGTTCAGTAGGAAGCCCTATTCCAGGTGGTACTCCTGTTTCAGTCGGAAGCCCTGTTCCAGTTGGGAGTCCTGTTTCCCTGACACCCACTATTGCAATAACGCAAAGGGTCTTGGCCGCAGCACAGGCTCAGCACACCCGCCCTTTCAAGGCATACCCTAAAGATCCCCTTACCTTGTCTACAGCACAAGATGAATCCTATATCCGATTCAGAGATGAAATGTTATCTCAGGTAAAGGGTGGAAAAACTTGTCAGAGGAAACGGCCTGCCAGTCCACAAGAATCTCTGGACAGCAGACAGGATCATTCAGAAGAAAAGGATGCTGCCTACTGGGAGAGGAGAAGAAAAAACAATGAGGCAGCGAAGAGGTCGAGGGATGCGAGAAGGGCGAAAGAAGATGAGATTGCCATCAGGGCAGCCTTTTTGGAACAGGAAAATCTGAAGCTGAAATACCAAATAGCAGTACTATCTGAAGAAACAGCCCACCTCAGGTGTATGGTTTACAAGGCAGATCATCATCCTGCCGTTCTGGCGAGGTACCCACCCATGATTTGAAATCCTTATCATAAATTTTGTAAATAGTCTCTAGGTTAGGTATATTTGTTTCAAAATTCTATTGTAAATATTATTTTATCATATAATTCGCAGTGGTATTATATCATTTGTTTCAAAGGTTTAAAAATGCTTATAAAAATCTAAAATTCTTTTTATCACATTAAATTAGATATTTAATGAGAAAATAATTATAGTTTTAAAATATTAAAAATTAATCTTCAAATCTGACTGAATAATTTATCATTTTTTGACAATAAAATATACTATTTTTCAGGAATTGAAGAGCTCATATATGTTATATGAGATTTTAGGAAAAGTAGGAATTTTATGTCATATTATGCTCAGAATAATATGTTAATTATTCCATCCTAAATAGCATCTTGTTTAATTTTTCTAAACCTTAAATTGTGGTTGTTGCCAGAAAATGAAAATTGATTGATCTAGTGTAAAATTGAAATAAAAAAATCATTAAATACAATTTTTCTCAGATTCAATTTTTTCAATTTGAATTCAATCATTCAAATAGAAGAGCACTTAGCTCTGCAATCGTTAATATGACAAAGAATTAAAACATAAACGGTATGTTTTAAATAATAGATTACATCATTAATAGTAATTTTCGAAGTTTACAACCCTTATTTTTATCATTTATGCAAATGATTGCCTACATTTTCAGAAAAAAATGCTGCGACTAAATGAAATTTTCAAGGAGGCATTGTTTTTTCTAAAACTTCTTTATTTATTGAATAAATATCTGGATATTGTAGCTAAAAATAGTTGCTATAGTGCTCAAATCCAAAATCAAATAGGAAACTATTTTTAATTGGATTTGTAAAAAAGCTATGCGAAACTGTTTTAGTTTCATAAATATCAATTATGCAGTTAAGGAATTTTAACCACCATTTTATGGCATGATACTGGACGGATCAAAAAAACTATAATGTACATTTATTTTCATATATATATACCTTTGGTATTTGACAGATAGAAAAATAAACTTTATTCTGAGAGAAAGTCAAAAAACTAATTTAATAAAAATCATGGTAATTTAATAATTGTTATATTTGATTTTTAATTTTAAAATTTGCTGGATTTATATTTAAAAATTTAAATTGATCTTTGTTATTTATTTATTTGATTAAAAATAACGATCACTCGCTTAGTAACACGGTTTTAAATAAATAATAATGCTTAAATTTTGATCAGAAAATAAAATCCCCTTTAACACAGAAATTAAATACAATATTACTATTTATGTATACATTATTATTTTGGACATTATTACATTATTTTGGACTAATAGTGATTATTTTTATGTACAAATCCAGGTCTTATATTTTAGAATTTTTATTGGATATTTAAAAAAGTATTTTGGGTTGAATGTTGCTGCACTTGTTATATATATATATATATAGCCAATTCTTACCTCAGAATTAAATATACCACTGCGATTTACTTTTTAAATAAGATAATGTACGATATTTATACTGTAAATATTTTTTTTGTAAATAATTTGCAAATATGTGATTTAATAAAAAAAATTCTAATTGCTGATGAAATGATTTTTAAGAAATGAGTATTTACTTTATTTTTAGTAGAAAAAGCTATCTTTGTATCTCCATCATAAATTCAGTTTACAGTTATTTTAAGAATACATTTCACACTATATGTAATTTATAGAAAAATATTTTAATTTAACTGTTATGTATTTTTCCCAGTCCAAGGCATTTTTAGTTAAGTGGCTTTATTTATTTTGAATTCCTTAACGGGATTGTTAAAGGGCTTTAAATAGAAGTAGTGATTATTGTTAAGAATATTAGACTGCCTTAATTAATGTATACTTGTAAATTTTCCTTGTGAATTAGGAAAACTTGTATTTTTTGTATTCCAACTTTGTATATATATATGTGTTGTTTTATTGAAAGAATTTATTTATGTATCATATCTCTATTTTTTTAATATATATTCATTATTATTATTATTATTGAGAACATAATCGAAGGTTATTACGTATAATATTTAATATTACATGTGATGTAACAATGTCACATGTATGGAATACATTTTGTAAAAAAAACAACAAAAAAAACAACAAATTTTATGCTCAAGATTGTTATATTCTTTGAGTTATTTTTATTAAAAAAATTAATGAAAAATTTGTATGTTACATTTTAATTTGAAATACCTATATTTCTCTCTCCTTTCTTGACCTTACTCATAACTATGGTTATATATTAATAGTAAATTAAAAAAAATTATGAGACCCTCAGAAAATCGAAATTCCTTCCTCAGTTTTTCTTTCCTCAGATAGCATTATAAAGAATGACTGCATTCCTGAAATGGAAAGCAATTTAGAAGTGAGGGATTTAATACCAGACATCCCATATCTAAGAAAACTATACAAATTTACACTACAAGAGATCCTATAGAGAAATTTAAAAAAGAATTGAAGAGCTTAAAAAGAAAATAATCAACTTCAAAATATTTCCCCAATTATTCTTCGGTGCATACTACTTATTTTCAAGTTTATTTATTATCAGCCAATTTTACACCAATTTTCAAAATTTTGTCAACTTAATGACTACACATCTAATTACGACGTTTCGGCTCGTTGAGCCATTTTCAAGTCTAAAATTTTTTTTTACAATTTACAGTCATGTTTAAAACATTACATACTTCAACATATAGAGATTCTTTTTATATACCTAAATACCAACCATGTACCTGTCCTCTTCACTTATGCGAAAAAAAAATTATTTTTGTCATGTCCACCTTCAATTATTTTATAACATTATTATCACTCAATTATTTCCCATTAAATGATTCAATTAAGTTAAAATTATCTTATCATGTGTCACCGACATGTCATCAGTCTCATTTCTATTCAGTGACTGGTTATTCTTAAAGGAGTATGGGAAGGCTATTTATCTTAATAAATAACTGAGGATTTAATTCTTGGAAAGAATATGAGAAGTTTGTAGTTTCAAAATATTTACAAAGTTGGCATAAAACAAGGTTCCAGCCAATGCTTATTTTTTTAGCTGTATTAGATTTTAATAGATTGTATTTATTTGGCAGGCGTTAACTATAAAATACTATTTTAATAGATAGCATTTATTTGACCGCACCTCCCGAAGAACTCCTTCTCATATTATAATCACGGTCAACCATTCATTCTGTATTAGATACTGTTTGTTGAGAGTTAAAAACAGATACTATTATGCAGAAATTTCAGACTTAAATTTAAAACTTTTCTTTAAATATAATGATTATGGCTGAAAGATGCCACATCCAAAACCTGATGATAATACAAGAGGAGATCAATGTTAAAAAGCTAAGAATAAAACATATAGATATTTAAAGGCGAGCTCAAATAATAAATAGCAGAATTATAGTGAGTATTGTAAAAGAAAAGACAGAACAATTTGACAAAACTATTCCAATCTGTAAAAAGTGTTTTTGTTCTAGTTACAAATTTCATCAGCATCAGATTTATCTAAACATGTGGATTGCAAGAGTTATACTTTTTTTTGTTATAGAATTGGAAAACTTAAAAAAAATATCTGAAAATTCGAAATTCTAAGTTATTTGAACAACTTATTCTTGATTAATTTCTGAAATTGTTGGTATTAGAGCAATAGATTCGTCGAAAATGAAAGATCAACTGTCAGAAATGGACCAGCATATAACTAGCGCAAACAGATCTTTCTTTTTCCTTTCAGAAGTATTGAAATCCCGAAAAATCTTAATCAATCTCAAATTAATGTTGTACAATGCTATGGTAAAGCCAGTTCTAATAAATGACTGTGAGATTTAGACACTAACCCACGCCTTAGAAAAAAGTATTGAAAGATTCAAGAGAAAATCTTCTCCTCGAAAACCAGAGCGATCTGGGACTAGAGTACTAACACGTGGAGAAGAAAGACCAATAAAGAGCTGCTTACAGATACTGGTCAATCAATATCTCATGATATGATGGCAGAAAGTTAAGATAGGTGGGGAATGTAGCTCTTAGCAATCCATCTAGAAGCCTCTGTATAACAATGAATGCCTTAATATAAGACAAAAGATCACCTGGAAGGTTAAAAAGCAGATGGATAGATCGAATAAACAATCAATCACTTCAATTATTTTAATATATTTTGTCACAACATTAAAAATGCAATATATTTAATGAAAATAATTTATGTATTATTTAAGATATTATTTGCTTCACCTATTCAGTTCGCTAAAAAGTATCTTCCATTTTAACAACTGTTGCTATAATATATACTACATTATAATAAAATATAATGCTTGATTACCTTTATAATTTTATTCATATCACTTTTTCAATAAATTAATTTGTTTAGCAGGTTGATCTTTACACTTTTTTTCTCATTTTTTGTTGTACCATGGATAACTGAAAATAAGGACCACAGTTTAATGTATTACAGCCATTAAATTTTCAATGTATTAAGAAAAAGAAATCTATAAAAGATAATTTTTATTTCTGCTTCTGAAACTTTTTTTATATTTTTTAGTTGGATAATTTTGGACTATCAAAAGATCAGGAAAAGATAAAGGAGTATTTCAGATCTCTTGCAGTTGGGGTTCGCCAAGTAGATGATCCATTCTTTGATGAAGGCAACGAAGTCTGTGGTATATATAAAAAGATTGGAATTATTGATGAAGATGAAGAAGATCTTTGTCATGAAGTGTAAGCCATCAAGCAAATATATTTGAAATTTTCATGTATTTATTGTTTTAAATTTTACTTTTACAAATTTTGAAAATTTTCTGTCTTTTAAATTTGTATTATAGTAAATACCAAAACAGTTACAATATTTAAATTGCAGGATGAAAACTTTCAAATGTGATGTACCAAACTGCCAATTGGAATTTGATAATCTGCTGAATTATGATCTACATTACAATTCAAGTCACAGATATTCTTGCTCTGAGTGCAAAAAGCAACTTCCATCACCACATCTCTTGGATTTGCATATTTCTGAAACTCATGATTCATTCTTTAAAGCTGCATCAGAAAGAAAGCCAATGGTAAATTATATTATTATGTAATGCAGTGCAATTAACAGTTTATTTTTGTTGATATTTTCAGATTTGTACAGTCATAACCAAATATCTAATACAGTAACCTAACCTATCTGATAATTAATAACAGAAAGGCTTAGCGAACCCAAAGGTTCGATGCCCACACCACCAATCACTTATTACACACCTCCCTCCACCGTTCCCCGTCCAAACCCAGTCCCTTCAGATCGGCTTTAATGCAATCTTCCCACCTTCGCTTCGGTATACCCCTCGGACGCTTACCATTCGGCACAGCAAATATTAACCTTTTAGGAATTCTCTCGTTACTAAGACCAACAACTTAACAAGCCCATTTGATTCGCCGCGATGAAATTACCTCAATTATATTACCCGGATACAGTTCACGCAATTCGGCGTTGTGTAACCGTCTGAACTCTCCCGTTAACTCATCCTTCTTCGGTCCGAATATTCTACGCAATACTTTATTTTCAAAAACCTTAAGACGCTGCTCATCCCTTAATGTAAGCGGCCAAGTTTCGCACCCATAAAGAACTGTAGGCAAGATAATTGTTTTATAGATTCTAATTTTTAAGTTTCGGGACAAGAGGCGCGAACTAAGTAGTTTTGTCACAGAAAAATAACAAACATTTCCCACCTTCAGTCTAACCTTAATTTCTTCTTCAATTTCGTTTTTTCTAGTTATCGTAGAACCTAGATACCTAAACTTATCTACCTGTTCAAACATATTACCATCTATATCGATATCACCAGTAGTATCGCATTTTTGCAGCTAACTATATATTTTGTTTTATCCACGTTTATTTCGAGTCCAAGTTCTTTACCGGCTTTCATTAACGTTGTCGTATTTAGTTTTTTAGTTTCAAGGTCTTCGCTTAACAGTACCAGATCATCCGCATAGCCAAGCACGGATGTTGTCCCACCCAGATTCAACCCTTTCTCGGTACGCATTACCTCCCTAATGGCATGTTCTAATGCCAAATTGAACAGGACAGGAGAAAGGGAATCCCCCTGTTTTAAACCCGAACGAAACTCAAATTTTTCGGACAGATTATTACCGATTCTAACTTTATTGAGTGTCTCCGTCAAGCACATCCTGACTAGGTTTACTATTTTTTTAGGAATCCCCTGTGCTCGATTAGAATATTATACAGTTTCTGGCGGTCAATAGAATCGTAAGCCTTTTTAAAATTTATATACAGCTGGTGAACAATACCGTTGTACTCCAATTTTTTCTCTAATATTTGCCGTAAAGAAAATATTTGATCAATAGTCGAACGATTCCGTCTAAATCCGCATTGGTAGTCTCCAATAATTTCCTCGGCGTATTCCGTGATTCGACTGGTTAAGATTAAAGTAAATATTTTATAACATACCGGAAGGAGTGAAATTCCTCGATAGTTATTACAATCCGTCCTCGCGCCCTTTTTGTGAATCGGAATAAGAATAGATTCTTTCCATTCTTCAGGAAATTTCTCATTCACCCAGATCTTTTTAACCAACCGATGTATTTTAGAAACTCCAGCTTCCCCGCATGCCTTAATTAGTTCAGTAGGAATATTGTCGGTTCCCGCTGCTTTATATGATTTTAATTTTCCGATAGCTACTTCAACTTCCTCTTTACTTGGTTCTTCTATTAATGGTTCAGCACTCTGGTACTCAGAAGGAGGACACAGATCATAATTTCCCGTATTTAAAATATTGTCAAAGTGGTCCTTAAACTTATTCAATATGTCAACCGGATCGGTCAGAATATTGTTATTATCATCCCTAATTCCAGACGTTACGGGCCCTACACATTTACGTGATCTGGTTATACCTTTGTACATACCTCTTACGTTATTTTCGATTCTATTAGTTTCTATTTCAATTATTTTATTTTTAAGATACTCCCTTTTTTTATTTTTGAGCAATTTTGTCGTTGCGTTCTTTGAGGTTTGGAAGTATTCCAGATTGTCTTCGCTAGGATTATTTAGAGCTTTTAATTTAGCGGCTTTTCGTTTTTCGCACATGTTTAAGCAATCTTTATCAAACCACGGTTTGTTATTCTTATTTTCCTTTTTTCCTAGACACGAGTTACCGACCGCTTTAATATTATCCCTGATCTCTACCCATAACTTGTCAATATCCTCGTGGTCCTCGTCAGGAAGCTCTAAAGCTTCAAACCTATTCTTAACATCTAGCTCGAATTGGGTTCTAATTGATGGATTTTTTAATTTGTTCAAATTAAAATTCTCAAAATAGAAACGGTTTTCTTTCCTCTTTTTTATATTAAGTTTTTGTCGAAGTTTCGCGATTACTAATTCACGATCCGACCCACATTCTGCTCCGCGATAAGACCGTACATTAACTATACTGCTTTGCCAGCTATGTTGTATCAAGACATGATCGATTTGATTTCGTGTTTGCGAATCCGGTGATGTCCAAGTATATTTATGAATATCCTTATGTTTAAACGTCGTACTTTTAATTATCAGGTTTTTCGAGATAGCAAAGTTTATCAGACGGATCCCATTATCATTACTATATTCGTGCAAACTTTCTTTACCAATCGTCGGAATATAAACTTCCCGCTTATAAAAATGATTCCCGCTTCCTCATCGAGCCCTCCCATGGCCAGCGAACCTCTTGCAGAGCCACGACATCCAAATTGTACCCATTCACCTCATTCGCGACCGATTTTAGCCCCCCTGCTGTGTTTAAACTCCTTACGTTCCACGTAACAATATTTAAATCCCCAACTTGCGCCTAAAGCAATCCCCTAAAGCAGTCCCCACCCCGGAGACCCGAACGGGGGACTAGTTTACTTCCGGATAATGAGCGTTTTATCTTAGGAAGATCCATGACTATTTGTGGTGTTTGGTGAACTAAAGATATGTGAGTAGGGCGTTCAATCCTACGTCACACCCTCCAGCAAGTCTGGTGGGCCCCTACCTCCTGCAAGTCTGAAGGTCCGGTCCCCTCCCTCCAACAAGTCTGGAGGGCCCCTCTCATTGTTGGTCAGCGAGTCCATCGGACTTAGCCGGGAGGAACTTCCAAGGAATTTCCACCGACCATTCCCACATCCGCCACCCGTGGGACGCTCCCCATACGCGGTAATGAGCCCGCGCGAGGTTGATAATTAATAGAGAAATATTTTTTTTTTTTTGGTTGGTATTACAGACCATGTAGATCTTTTTCCACCTCAACAAGCCTGCTCCATCTCTGCCTTGAGCTATTTCTTTACATTTATCTGCACGCAGCTCTGTTGATTCTATCTATCCATCTGCTTTTTGGCCTTCCACGTGGTCTTTTGCCTTCTAATGAGTCATTCATTGTTACGTAGAGGCTTTCAGATGGATCGCTACGACTTACATGCCCTACCCATCTTAATATCTGTGCCTTCATGTCATGGGATATTGATTGGCCAGTTTCTGTAAGCAGTTCTTTATTGGTCTTTCTTCTCCATGTGTTAGTACTCTGATCCCAGATCGCTCCGTTTATCGTTTGGAGGATCTGTGGAGGATTTTTCCTCTCAAATCTTTCAAAACTTTGTTCTAGGATGCTGGTTAGTGTCCAGATCTCACAGCCATATATTAAACCTAGCTTTATCATATCATTGTACACCCTTAGTTTGAGATTTGTCAGGGTTTGAATACATTTCAGAGGTAGAAGAAAGCTCTGTTTGCGCTAGTTATACACTGGTCTATTTCTGCCCGTTGGTCATTCATTGAGGTTATTGTGGAGCCGAGGTGTTTGAATTTTTCTACTCTCGGGAATGATTTTCCTTCTATGCAGGTCCTGTTATTGGGGTGGAATTTTCGGCTTATTATCATATATTTCGTTTTGTCTTATCCTTTGTCATTTACTTATAGACCAATCTGCTCAGTATTGTAGCGAGTTCCTCACTGCCTTCTTGATTACTTCGAAGGACAGCTATATCATCTGCGTATCCAAGGATTTTATGATTCATTCCGATATGGACCCCTCCATTTTCCTGTGATGCTGCTCTTATTACTTTCTCCAGGGCCAATTTGAACAATATCAGTGATAGCCCATCTCCCTGTCATAAGCCTGTTTGAACTTTGAAGGCTTCAGAGACTTCTCCTTGTATTATAACTTTATATTTGGGGTCATTTGTACACACCTTTGCCAATCTGACTAACTTACTGGGAATTCGCAGTTCAGTCATGATTTTCCAAAGACAGCTCCTGTCCACAGAATCATAGGATGCTTTGAAATCGACAAATAGGGCATGGACGTCCTGAGCTACTTCCCATCGAGCTACTTCAAGTACTTGTTTTAGGATGAAAGTCTGGTCTAGTGTGATCTCCCTTTTCTGAATCCAGCTTGGTGGTCACCTATTATATTCTCCTAATATGTATATATTCGGTTTAGTAGGATATTTGTCACTATCTTGTAGGCAACCAGAAGGAGTGCTATGCCTCTGTAATTACTACACTCATACATAGAGCCTTTCTTTAGGGCAGGACAGATTGGGCCCGTATTCCAGACCTCTGGTATCCTTACCTCTTCCCATATTTTCTAGACTATTTGTAGTATCTTGGCTCTTAAGTCGTCTCCTCAATTTTTAAACAGTTTTTATGGTAGGTTGGCTATCCCTGTGGCCTTTTTTGTTTTGAGCCTTTCGATAGCTACTTCTATATCCAGTATATCTGGTTTTTCAACCTCTTCTGGATCAAGGTCCTCAGTGTGATCCATGACTTCTTCGGTCTTGGTGTCCCCTTGATTGAGAAGTTCCTGCAAATGTTCTTTCCAGTTGTTCAATATACTTTCTTTAGATGTCGTCAAAATGCCATATTTTCCTCGCTTTTGCCTATTCAAATTACTTCGTATCATTCACGTAACAGAAATAATTATTGGAGTAAATAAAAAAAATTATAATCAATGGCCATTAATTTAAATTCTCGATATTCATTAAGTAGTAACTTTGTAGAGTTACCACCATGTGAAAAATAGTCAATAGCCTGGAAATGTATTTTTCTGAAATCAATTCTTTCTTAAACATTTCTAATAATTTTACAATCACTCAGGAGAATAGGAAAAAATTTCAAGATTTTCCCATTTTTATTTATTGAGTTATGAATTTAAAAAACAAAACAAAAAAAAAACCCAAATTCAATGTTTTTTGACATATCTTGAAACAAAAACAATAATACAAATACTTTCAAAAGCTTACTGCCCTAGAAAGTTTTTTTTAGAAATAAAAGAGTTTTACTTTGGTATCTACCGTGATTTTATCAAACTAATCTTAAAATGTTTAAAAATTAATTTTTTTTCCAAAAGACGTGAATAAAATTTTTACTTTGATTTTCTAATCATACTATTTGTCTTTTTTCATATTGTTATTTATTATTTAAATTTAAATAATAAGTAAATAACTACAGTATGCCGATGACCTCCTCCTTGTTCTTAACCCAGACAGCAATCCTCAAATTCTTTCTTTATTTAACTCTTATCACCCCCGTCTTCATTTCACTAAAGAGAAAGAAGTTAACAATTCACTCCCCTTCTTAGACCTCCTAATAATAAAAAACATTGACAGCTATATTTCTACTTATACTAAACCCACCTACTCAGGCAGACTATTTAACATTTATTTTCAACACCCATATCTCCAAAAAATCAATACCGCCAAAAACCTTATTCATCGATCTCTCTCTTTATCTGATCGACATTATCACCAAGCCAAAAAAATACTCAGCATATCAAAATATAATCCTTTCTAATAATTTACCTCTCAACACTGTACTTAAACTTTTAAACAGTTATACAACCAAAAAGAGTACAAACTACCCTTCCCCCAGCTCCCCACAATCACCTACCACTCCTGTGATATACAAATCTCTCTTCTATACTCCTATTCTCTCAGGTAATAAACAAAAATTACTTAACAGGATTCTGTTCCATGTGAATGTGGATGGATTCGGAAATGAGTCTTTTTTCATGGTCAGGGACCGTGGCAAGAATAGTGGTTTTTTCAAAATCAAATGAATGGTTGAGAGTTAAGGCATGTTCTGATACTTTGGAGGCGGATGAGTTTTGGGAAATTATGGATGTTTTATGTTGGGAAATGCGGGTTTTGAGATAGTTTTTGGTTCCACCAATATAGGAGATATTACAATTAGGAGTAGAGCAAGGTATCAGGTAAACTACATTAGATCGGTGTTGTAAAAGTATGGGATCCTTCAAGTTGGTGAAAAATAGAAGAAAGTTTGTTATGCGACTTAAGGCCAAGACATAAGTTGGTTATAGTCGATTTAAGAAATTTTTGTACATGAACAACCTCAGTGCTCAAACCACGCCCTGAAGATGACCCACATGTTTGGGTTGAAACGTTGGCAAAAATAAAAAAAAATTTTAAAAAAGACTGCGTCCTGAATATTTATCACCCATGATATGTAGAACAGTCGACTAACTTCTTTCAAGAATTCTTCAAATTTTAGATACTGTAATTTTCCAGGTTTTGTTTTACTTTTACTACTAACCCCCTCACTATTTCCCAACCAGGTCAGCAAATTTCCCCAATACTTACCTTGTTTTTCCAGTTTTAAGTGAAACTCCTTGCTGAACACACCTGTAAGTCTCTATTTTTATTCTTTTAATATTATTTACTTATTTTTTTTTTTGTTTTCTCATATTTTTTTTGTTTTCTTTTCTTTCTCCACATACCTTTATGTCCATTATTTCATATTATATCCTTTTTCTTTTTCTTCCAATCTCTCCTGTAGATCTGTAGGAGTATATTCATAATTGTATATATTATATTTTATATTATACCACAACAATGGTTACCACCTATTTACTTCAGTTTAGGATCTTGTTACTTAGCTTACTCTGTTTATACAACTTGTTCTTAATATTTTAATGTACTTACCATTTATAATTTTAATAAGTTTATTCACATTGTTTATGATTTTTTATTTAAATATGATGTAACTTGCACAAACTCTATATCTTTTATTATCTTGTCCGTTCTAGCCTTCTGTCCCTGAAAAAGATCTGCAAAGTCAGGTCGAAACGTTGGCTTTTAATAAAATAGTTTCGCCATTATTTAGTCTATTTATGACTGCCACCTCGGACCATCTCCTTCCTGAACGATCAACTATTAAGTATTCAAAATTACGTTGATTATATGTATATTGGGCTTAAAATAAAAAAGGGCCCAGGGATGAAAAACCTACCATCAGAACTGTTTACAGATGGGGAAGGAGACTCAAGAGTCGACTTACTAATACTAATACAGAAAATATGGGCGGAGGAAATGATACTAGAGGCTTGAAATGTGGGCCTAATCTGCTCTCTCCTAAAGAAAGGTCCCATTTATGAGTGTAGTAATCACAGAGGCATAGCATTCCTTCTTGTGACCTACAAAATAATGACCTGTATTCTGCCATATCAGATATATTTGTATTATGAAAATATAAAAGGTGACCACCAAGCTGGATTCAAAAGAGGAAGGAGTATGCTAGACCAGATCTTCATTCTAAAACAAGTACTCGAAAAACGGGGATAAATAAATATCTCAGGATGTCTATGCCTTATTTATTGATTTCATAACAGCCTCTGCTCCGTGGACAGGAGCTGTCAATGGAGAATCATGACTAAACTGGGACTTCCTGAGAAGTTAATGAGACTGATGAAGGCATGTAAAAATGATGCTAAATGTGGAGTCCTTATACAAGAAAAAGTATCTGAAGCCTTCAAAGTTCAAACTTTCTTTGGGGGTGTGGTGGCCGAGCAAGCTAACACATGTGCACTGCACCATGCTTTTCCCAGCAATCTGATAACTGAAGTTTAATAAATAATAATAATATTAAAAGGCTTAGCGAACCCAGGGGTTCGATGCCAAGACCACCACTCGCTCATTACACACCTCCCTCCACCATTTGCCGTCCAAACCCAGTCCCTTCAGATCGGTTGTAACGCAATCTTCCCACCATCGCTTCGGTCAACCTCTCGGACGTTTACCATTCGGTACAGCAAATATCAACATTTTAGGAATTCTTTTGTTACTAAGCCCAACTATTTTACAAACCCATTTGATTCTCCGCGATGTAATCACCTCAATTATATTAACTGGATACAGTTCACGCAACTGGGCATTTTGCAACCTTCTGAACTCTCCGATTAACTCATCTTTCTTCGGTCCGAACATTCTATGCAATACATTATTTTCAAAAATCTTAAGACGTTGCTCATCCCTTAATGTAAGTGGCCATGTTTCGCACACATAAAGAATTGTAGGTAGGATAATGGTTTTATCACTACCTAACCTTAATGCGGTCTCTGATGTTAAAAAGGTTTCCTGCCTATAGCATATATATTGCATCTCCACTTAAGTTTGTAAAAAGTTGGCATAAAAATACATGGTTTAATTTTTTCTTAGTAAAGCTATTTGTTCTTATACCATGTACTTGTAATATATATATATTTTAAGGGAAATTTCATCTATTGATTTAAATAAATATATATATAACATTTTAGGAACATAACGAATTGAAAAGCTTTTGATTTTGGTAAGAGTATCACCATTTTGAGCTTTCAAATCATACAAAAACCAAACAAAGTTATTAATGAGATTTAAATACTAACATATTTTATTTATCTATTTTAGTTCAAATGCTTTGTGGAGGATTGTCCTGCTGTCAGCTTGACTCCAAAAGATAGGAGAAGTCATTGCATCGAAGATCATAAATTTCCACATGATTTTAAATTTGATGCAGGACGGTAAGGTAATAAATTAAAAATGTTCAAATTTTACGTATTAGGATATTCTTTTCTATTTTATGTACTGTAATATTTGTATGCAAATTTATAGCATAACCTCAAATAATATTTCAAGTTCTTTTGAAATGGTAATTCATGATGGACTCCCTCTGATTTTCTGTTTAAAATATTTAGATTGTTAATGTTTCAATATGTTATCTAATCATCTATTATTCAATATATTGGGTTGGCAGATAAGTCCTTTCTGTTTTTCAGAGTGAAATAAAACTCAATGTATTATAGACATAAAATTTATTTTAATCTACAATAATATATTGACTGTTATTTAATATGATTTTCCCCATTTTTCCACTAACTGCATAATGCCATGTTCATAGAATGTCTGGAGTTTATTGTTAAAAAGACTGATCCTAGTGATTTTTTATGTTCTCTTCCTTTTGGAATTTCTTTCCATTCATGGAGTTCTGCAGAGACCGGAATAAGTGGTAATCACTTGGAGTTAGGTCTGGTGAATAGGGAGGGTGGGGCAAAAGGTCCCATCCAAAACTCAATAATTTATTGCTGGTGACCAATGAGGTGTGGGGCCTAGTGTTGCCTTGGTGAAACACAACACCCTTCCGATCTTTCATAACTTTTCAGGATGTTCTCAAAATTTGATGTTACTATATCTGCTGGAAAGCTGATTTAATGTCTTCAAAAGGAATAAACAAACAAAAACTCCGTATAGATTTTTATTTTTTATCTGCATTTATAGTTTGTTTACAAAGGTCCTGTTGATATCATTTTGTGTAGTTTATGTGGTCCTAAATTCCTGCTGAGTTCTGCACATGCGCTAATATACTGCAAACCACCTGTTACTTTGTCTCCCACAAGTGATTAAATTACTAGTGAATTAATGAACTAAAGTGATTTGAAACAGTGTCATTTGAACAATTAACAATTCGTTCATCAAATGAACATAAATATGATGAGTAATTGCTTGTATGTTAAGTTTATTGAGCAGTGTAAACAACAATAGATTTAGGTGGAGAAGGCCATACTATTATCTATCAATCCCCTCTTGTCAGTTGAGCTGTTGCTCTCTGAAGAGGTTGATCTCACGTCGCTTGGCCCTTCACTGGAACGCATAATTATTTACGCACCAGATTATTATTATTATTTTCTCTTCTTATTCAGCCATTACCATAAATGCGATATTATCACATGATAATGTCTACAAAAAGTAAAAGATCAAGAAGTCTAGGTTACAACAGCTCTCAAAGCTCACCTGTAAAGCAATGGCCAAGGCGTTCAAATAGGAAAACACCACCATCAACACCTGACAAACCAACTGAAAATATTAACAATCCACAACCTGGTACTTCAACACAAAAAACAAATAAATCTCTGTTCTTCACCACCAACCCATACTAGCTATTATCATCAGAAGATACTATGGAAACAGCACCAACCCCCAGAGAGCCAAAACCACCTCCAATATTTGTGGAAATATTAAAAATTTTCCTTTATTTTTTCAGCATCTCAATAAAATAATGGACAACGGTAAATATGTATGCCATAGTAGAACCAATGACACCAAACTAATGCCAAATTTTCCGGATACATACAGAAAAATTGTGAAATACTTAACTGAATCAAAGGCTGAATTTCACACTTATCAGTTATATGAAGAGAGACCACTGAGAGTAGTGATGAGAGGTCTCCACCCTTCAACTCCACCTGATGAAATCAAAGAAGAATTGACGGCTTTAGGCTTCAATGTCTGCCAAATCATCAATGTTTATAAAGACAATAAAGAGCTACCAGGCAAAAATAACAAAATAGCACTACCACTATTTTTTGTGGACCTAGCGCACTCCAGGGGTCGAAAATATTTATAGACTTAATCGTTTGTACTAGTAGTACCTATACTATTCTAGTATAGTAGTTGAAAAACGATACAATAAAAAAGAGATAGTACAATGCCATAATTGTCAAACCTATGGCCATATAAGAAGCTTACCTTAATGTGTGAAGTGCGGACAACAGCACAGGTCTGAATATTGCACCAAGTCTAGGCAAACTGCTGTTTGCGCACTATGCCATCAAAACCATCCAGCAAACTACAAGGGATGCCAAACGTACAAAATATTGAAATTAAGAACACAGGCAACACTCAGACAGGAAAAGACCACCAGACCACCTAGGCAACCCACATGACGTGTGACCAAAGAAGTGTCCTTTGTTGAAATGCTAGGAGAGATTGAATAGACAAATCAACCTCAGGTCCTGCCGCAAATTCAGCAACAACCTCATGATCCAACAACCTTTCAAGTCCGCTGCGGCACCTAATTCTCTAATTATTATCCAGTTGATGCTGGTGTTCCACAAAGCAGTGTCTTAGGCCAAGTTCTCTACAACCTTTTCACAGCTGACATCCCGACCCATTCTGATACCCTTCTAGCAAAATTCGCTGACGATACTGCCATCCTATCATCCCATCCAGATCCTGAAACAGCATCCCTAAACCTACAAAGACACATCTCCCTAATAGAGCAATGGTGCATCGATTGGCACATCAAAATCAATGAATCCAAATGCAAGCATGTCACCTTTAAGCTCCGACACAGATCCTGTCCACATTCCTTTTCAACTCTGTACCTCTTCCCATCTCAGATACAGTTCGGTATCTTGGATTCCTTTTAGACAAAAGACTTAACATGGAACCCACATACCAGACTTAAAAGACAAAAACTTAATCAACGATTTGGCCAGTTATACAGACTACTTAACTGTTAATCTAATCTCTCAATTGAAAACAAACTATTAATATACAAGACTATACTGAAACCCTTCTGGACATACAGACTTGAACTGTGGGGGACAACTAAATTTTCGAACATCAAATGCATCAAATCTTTCCAGTCTAAAATCCTCTGTATAATAGTCAATGCTTCTTATTATGTTACGAACAAAACCTTACATCACGACCTTAACATCCCTTATTCCATCCCGATTCTCAAAGTTTTATCATAATCTAATCCATCATCCTAATCCCTTAGCACAATCCTTATCCGGTTCCAGTCATCCCTACAATCCTCCTAGAAGGTTGAAACGGCAGTGGCCTCGAGATCTTTTGTAAATACGTCACTGGAGTCCTAAAAATGGCCAGTTTCTCCACACAAGTGACGAGTGTACGTGGCTTTAGTGCCCTCTCTTAGTCTCCACTGGATTCCCATCCCACTGATGCGGCTGAGAGAGAGGCGCTGGGATCTCTTGGAGTCTTGCCTTATGTTCCACACTTTGGGGAAAGGGCCGACTCGGAGCCCCTCGCCTGACTGTAAATATTGTAAATAAATATGAATGTGTTTTTAATTTTTTTTAAAAACTTATATTTAATGTTGTCCCATGTTTGAAAGGACTTATTTGCCAACCCAATATTATGATTTCTAAGATGTATCTCAAAATAATAGAAGAATGCACAGAAATATCTTCTCCTGTGTTTTTAATATAAATAACTCAGTATCATTTCTTTGTTCTTTACAGAAAATCACCCAAAAAGAAAACCAATACATCTAAAAAGGAATCATCTGAAATTGAAGTTAAACCAGGTAGTAGCAGTGGATCTTTCACATTTGGTCATAAGAAAACAGGCAAAACTTTCATGTCAACAAATAAAAATAAAAAACCTGAGAAACCAATCGAATTACAAGAATTGATGGAAACCCTTCCATCAATTTCTGACAAACCTGAATAAAATGGTGGCTTTCTGTTCATTAATTATGAGTTACATGTTAATTATGTATGTCCTTAGTATTCTACAATATTTTGCAATTATTATTGAATATATTTTTGATAAAACTTATCTAACAACCCATAATATGTACACTTTTTTAAAAAAATAATATGTTTAGATTTTTCTTGAAAACATATTAAAACAAAATGTGTTCTGCTTCACTACTACTGATTCAATTATTCATTGTGAATTATATAACAACTTAAAAATTTGGTAACTTTACACTAGAACTTATTGAATTTGTAACTAATATATATCAGGTTAATAATAATGGATGTAATTATTGTAACTTTCAGATTAAAAATTTCAGAAATAAGTGTAGAAAATTCATTTCCATTTGCCCTCATTCACTTTTGATATTAAAAAATGTTTTTCTTATTTTTAATTATGCATGAGTAAGTTCCAGTATTTCAAAAGATACTCAGATTAATATATTCTCTAATGGATCAAAATGTATGCAGGTTAATTCTTTGTCACTGGTTTGATAAAGAAAATAATTATTAAATATTCATGAAAAATATATTAATTACTATAAAAAAGAATAAAGTCCACTAGAAGTGCTCGAACTGAAGGATAGGAAATATATATATTTTTTAACCTGGATTCTAGTACCAATTTCGACAGTGAGATAGCAGAGAAACTCATAGCCCTAAGAACACTGTCAGGAAGGCAAGTCGGAGCGCTGTTCTCTTTGTTGTCTCTCAAGCAGCAATTCTCGCTGTTACTAACGTGAATGAATGTCTGTCAAGTGCTATCTTGGAGTGCAAATCTCTCCTCTATAAATTAACTCTCCGAGGCAACAATGTGGTCCTACAGTGGATTCCAGGAAATGTGGAAGCAGATAGTCTCGTCAAGATACAAGGAGAATTGCCTCAGTTCCTCCAGTTCCTCAGTTCATCCAAAATCTTATGATTCAATTCGGCGAATGGTGAAGATGGTAGTGAAGGAGGAAATAAAAAAAATACACAGAGACAAGGTGGAAGGGAGACGTTATAAATGTTTGATGGAAAACATGATCCCAGCTGTCCTACCAAGAAGAGATGAAGTAGCCTGCTTCCGCCTGGCCACTGTTCACAACTATCTACAAAGTCATCTCCACAATATGTCATGTCGCCACAACGATTGACGTGGCTGAGGATCCTAGGTGTAAATTATGTGATCAAGTAAAAATGGATGCAGACCACCTAGACACATGTCCTGCTTTGAAGGACATAAGAAATAAAACATTTGTCAATGAATATATAAAAAAATCAAACTTTGAGCAACAAGATGTCAGATGGTCAAATGACCAACGACTTTGATATAGGTAAAAACTTGTTAACCTAATACCACCCGGGCTTACCCTAAGGGTCAACGCCCAACCACTTCATCGTAACAAAAATGGCATGTAATAAAAACAGCAGGAGATATTCCATTGTGAGCATTTCTCTTAAAACATTGTATTTCTATTTACGTATTTCTATATATGCTATGTTGTATTTCTAAGCTTTTTCTTGTTGGAATGCCCACTATTCATTAATTATGATTTTTTAAAGGAAAATTTACTTAAAATAATATGAAAACCAAAGTAAATTTTTATAAAAAAAATTATAATTAACATTGTATCTTCTAATCCAGGAATGAAAAAGAAAGTGCTAAGAATATACTAGAAAGTAACATGTGATCAGTTAAACATATAAATTTAGTCAATCCAAAAAGCATATTTACCAGATTCTAACCAAATGGCTTAATCATGACTTCCACTCCTCAACAATAGAGGGCATTCTCAAATAGATACAATCTGGAAAGAGCTATCTCTCGATTTTCAAAATGAAGTGAGCAGGATTTGATACTGAAAATTTCAAGCATTTTAACAACTCTTAGAACACAAAATCAGAAAAAAATCAGAGAATATTTTTGGAAATGGTAAAGATATAATTTTAAAAAGTAACTTAATCCAGTGCCGACTTTAGACATTTGGCGCCTCTGGGCAATGACATCACCTCACCCCTAAAAAAATTAACTTTATTTCTTAAGCTGTTTTATATAATGCAATATTTGAATTTTATTTCTCTAATACAGTTGCTTTATTGATAGGCTAGAATTAGTTATTTTAATATATTTTGTATTTTTTCTAATTTCTAACAAGTGGCTAGCGCCCAGCAGCCAGGGGCAATTTCCCCAGTTGTCCCAATCTAAAGCTGACACTGAATCTATCATATCATATAGGATTTATTTTGATCATTTAAAAGAAATTATCATTAAGAAAACATTTATCAACATATTGAAGTGATAAGCATCATTTTATGTAATAACTTAAGCATACTAATTTCTTTGTAGCCTTTAAGATAAAATGTTCCTTTTTTTATATTATTTAATACTAATGTTACCAGTCCATTAATTACGTTTACCAAAAGAAGTTTTTGAATTAATAATAATACATATTGGTGTACATTCATTTTTGTAAATTAATTTCATTATGAGCTAATCCAGGCCAATTTAATTTCATTGAACTAAGATTTTAGTGACTTATAATTACCATTAATAAAAGATTTATAAGAAAATCATAATAATACTTATTAAGTAAATTATGTAATAATTCGGAAATGTTGAACAAATATTACTTTTTTGTCACTGTGTAATAACATAAAAGATTTAAGCGCCATTTTAATGAAGGGTATAATCAGGAGAAACCATACACATGTATTGGAAGATAAAATATTTTTAAAAAAATTTAAACATTTGGAAAATTGGTTCGAAAAAAATATACATAATTAAATTTAAAATATTTTATCATTCATTGATCTAAAAAATAATAGCAAAAATATGATTTCGTAATTGACTTGCGTTAAACGCTAAAAACAGGATCTCCACTTAGTGAAAAATGTCCCTTTTTAGGGAAATAACTACGTTTGGAGTTGAAAACAGTTTTAGTGGACAAAATTTTCCCTTTATCAAACTCAGTGCCTTATCTCATAACACAAGCGGATCTACGGTGGAGGGAGGAGTACTTTCGTGCTGAAGCCCCTCCCCCCCCCCCCCAAATGGTAAAATGTAACCATGTTTTATTGGAAAAATTATCTCTTAAAGTATTATTGTTCGTGTAATTACATTTAATAAGACTTCAAGAATCACTTAAACACCATTTCATACAGTTAGTATCTTTCTTTTTTTTTCCAAAGTAATTATCATTATATATGTGAAAAAAAAGCCTTCGGGCTGAAGCCCCCAAAATTAAATCCTGGATACGCGAGTGTCTCATAATAGAATAAATTAATTTATTATAATTATGTAAATAGATCCCTGCCAAGCAGTCAAAAATTAAGAATTTTATATAGAATAGAAAAAAATATTTTATTGTGAGAAAAAAGTTCCTTTAGAATAACAAAGTTATGCAGGAAAAAGAAGGATTACTTCTGGTCAAAGATCTGTTATATATAATTTATACATATATAAAACGACACTATCTATTGTTACATAACTAATCGGAGGTTATATTTGGTTATTTGATAAGTGATTAAATTTGTTTCACTGGTGGAAGGTTCGTCATTATCGTAATATACGACACAACGATTAGTGATGGGGCCATATAGTGATGTGGTGTGACAGAGATTTTTCTGTCACAGCTCCGACAGTGGCAGCTCCGGGAAAATCACAGTGATTTGTCACTACAGTGATTTTTTTCCGGTGTCAAATATACATGGCTCCTTGGCGAAAGCGTCACTGTGAAATTATGGTTCACATGTTTAAACTTATATACATAAATATGTATATAAAACTTATGATTATACTGAAAGACTGATCGCAAAAAAAAAGGGGGTTTAGGGCATAGTAACATTACACAAGTTCGTGAGCAACTGACTTTATTATTTACTTCATCCAATATATATAGTAACGGTTTGTTTTCATTTACAATGCTTTGTTAATCCTATTAATAACATAGTTCTTATTATTGTTTATGGCTTATACACAGCTAACTCCCTCCCTCCAGTTCCTTCGTATGGAGGAACTTATAATAATAAAAGAGAAAAAAAAAATAATAGAACATAAAACACAAACTCCAACACTTCCAAAAGAGCAGAAAAATAAAATAAAATAAGTAGCAGATTCACTTGCTTAACATACTTATACCTAAAACAGAAGAAAATACAGATATCCTAAAATACAATAACTTAACCTATATACAATGGAATTTAACAAAAACAAATAAATTTTCCACTCTACTTATATAATGCTATCTAACAAAAGTTAATCAATATTGCTAAAAACATAAAAATGGAAAATAAGAAAAGAAAACTTCCTAGCCGTGAGATGGTCCAGGCTGGGCGCCGCCGTCCGTCCCTTTTTCTGGGATGATCTGGGGTACCCGAAGTTCTTCGAGGTGTACCGTACGTGACCGAAACGGGTAATTTACATCCCTGATAGTAAATAGATTATTCTCCCGAATGGTGATGACTTTATAAGGCCCCTCATACCTCGCGGCTGTTTTAGTGCGAGCGGTCCGTAATCTATGGTTCCCGGTCTATACACTATGGTTCCCAGCGCTAACGGGCCCTTTCTATAAACTATGGGTCGGTTATTTGCCTTAGCCACCCGGGTTTCCTTCTCTCGAACTAATTTTTCTCGTACCTTCGCCCACGTTGTTGCCGCCCTACTCTTGCCTGATACATGCTAGCTTTAAGGTCGTTATTGTTAGCCGCGATGAGATCCCCTCTATCCCGTCGCCTCTGTCCGAACACAATTTCGTCTGGTGATAATCCCGTTGTGGCATGAATGGTATTATTGTAGGCTATGACAGCACGTGGTATAGCATCCAATGGATCGAGGTTACGACCTAACTTGAGCAACCGCAAGTGTTCGCCTAGGGTATTGTGGAGCCGTTCCACGGCGTCTCTTCCCTTAATGTGATGTGGGGTGTTCAAACGCCAATTGATGCCCAATATCTTGCTCTCATCTCGAATTAGAGAGTTATCGAACTCTCTACCGCAGTCTGAGACGATTTCGTCTGGGACACCGTAAAATGCGCACCATTGCAAGATCCCTTCCCAAACTGCCCCAGGAGTTTTTGACTCAATGGGATAGGCCATTGCAATTTTACTGAACGGGTCTATCGCCGTTACCCATGATTGCCCCTCGTTGGAATAAACGTCTACCTGTATGGATCGCAGAGGTTCTGTAGCGGCAGGGGTGACTACTTGTTCGGCTACCGGAGGTTGACGATCGTACTTCGCTCTTTGGCAGACCTCGCACTGTGCTACACAATCCCGTACGGTACGGCCCATACTTTTCCAATAATAGAGCAATTTCAATGCACGAAGAGTCTCCTCTACTCCCCGG